CTTGTGTCATCCTCCGCTTTGGTGCTGGAGTAGTGCTAAAAGTGGAGTAAAACTAAACTCTCTCATTCCAGAGGACTTCTCTAGTGCAGATGGAATCGCTTGGACTAAAACCAAAAGTGTAGCAAGGAACATCTGCTTGTTGATGGATTGGGTATCAGTTTTCTATTATTCAATTTCTGTTTCAGAGTATTGTCTACGATCTAAATACAGCAACACAGAAGATCGCGCAGATGTACATTGTATTGCCAGGTGGTGTTCAACAGCGAAGGACCAATATGACACCACATAGTTTAGATGTAGCACAGAGTGAGTGTTGATGATTAAGGCGATGTAGACGATTTTTCAGTTTCGTCAAGGTATGTGTATGTGTATGCGTGTGCGTGTGCGAGAGGTGGGGCAAAAGTCGTACATTTTACGGAATCTGTGGACATTGTTTTGACTAATCAATATTCATTATGAGAGCCTTTTGGGGATTCAAACCCATGCCATGCGAATCCTTGGAGCGGAATGACACAAGTCGACACATATAACTACGCCGCCGAGTGCGCCGATGGAACATAGCTCAAGTTTAGCAAATCCTGTCTACGAAGGGAGACAACTCGACACATATGACTACATCATCTGACCACATCATCATAACTCCGGTACGCAGGAATAATACAGGTGCACAGATCTGAATATGAAACAGGTGAGGCGGTCCCTCTTGTCTCGGGGCTGTGGGATAGCCTAGTGGTTAAAGCTTTCGTTCGTCACGGAAGAAGCGAGTTCGATTCCCCACATGTGTACAACGTATGAAGCCCATTTCGGGTGTCCCTTGCTGTGATATTGCTGGAATGTTCCTAAAAGCGGCGAAAATCATACTCAAAGTCCAATCTTCCACTTATTGTTTGTTCAATAATCTTCTCATGGTATTTGCTTTCGTTTTGGAAGAATTGTCCTGCACCTCTGACGATAGATACGTAAGTGTATCCTTGGTCACCATGTTTCGTAACAACTCCCTCAGGAATGAATCCTTCCCCTACCAAACGGCTGCACATGAACCCCACTCAGCATCACACCCCCATCGTTACTTTATCCGTATCATTGGCGGATCCATGGGGGTTCAGGGGGATCGAACCCCCTTTTGAAAATGACTATGCGTATTCCATGTTTCCCCTCATTGGTACAGTCCCTTCCTTTGAAGCCCATTTCGGTTATTACTATCCGTAATGTTACCAAATGTGGCATAAAGCAAGAAAATAATAATAATAAAACCCAACATTTTGACAACTGGAATAAACTTTTCTTTTCAGAATATGTGTGTTTAGGTTTCACGGCGAGTGCATGGGAACAGATAGGACAATCCACGTCGAGATAAGCCGATAAGCTGATAGCCTTGTCTGTGATCCTAAACCGCCTCTCTTGCTACAAGACCAGGAGATAATCATGGAACCGACACAGCTTCACCCTGGGCATACACAATACATACGGCAAAATATTACAAATAAGCATCCCCAGTTCACAATGTTGGACAAATCAATAACACAACAAATAGAATGCAAAACATGGTAACGTATGTCGAGCGTTACCATGGTGAAAGTAATGAATTGTTTTTTTCTTCACTCCTCAAGATATGTTCATGTTTTAAACACTGCTGTGCTTGTATTTTGTATTCATTGCAGACTTTCAGAACAGGTTGTTTTGTGATTGTTAGAATACTTACATTGGTTACCATGACAATATTTGACATCAACATGAGCAGCTGTTGAGGTCTCACTGGCTTAATCTTAAATTTGCTCTTATTTCTAAGTTAACAGGGGCGGTAGGGTAGCCTAGTGGTAAAGTGCTCGCTCGTCACGCCGAGGACCCGGGTTCGATTCCTCAAATGGGTGCAATGTGTGAAACCCATTTCTGGTGTCCCCCGCCGTGACATTGCGGGAATATTGCTTTAAAAGCGGAGTAAACCTACACTCAGTCTAAGTTAACCTATCCCGTTATTTAGTTGTAATATAGAATACCGTTAATTATCAGTACATGTATCCATGGAGGCTTTATATTCCGAAGATTATGAGGATTATAATAAATTAGTGAGTGAATGCTTTTGTTTGTTTATTTAACGCCGCACTCAGCAATATTCCAGCAATATGGCGGCGGTCTGTAAATAATCGAGTCTGGAATATTGCCGAATGTTTTTAAACAAACAAACAAAACATAATAACATGAGGATATATTACCTGATGTATTGTGGAGTGTCGAACAGCAAATCATTGGCATCGATAAAGACAAGTGTAAAGAAGATATGTTCATGAATTACAAAGAACCCAAGGGACGTTTTACATAGAAGTGAAATGACAATCCGTTAATGCAGGAGTAGGCGTTATAGCGAGAGCTGAGTGGGTGGTATAGCACTGAAACTCATTGCATTGTCAGCAGCAATTCTTTAGCATGCCTACTCCGTATGGTTAATTCATGCTGCTTTGTACGTTTACGTCAGTGAAAAGGTTTTGTAATGTGGATGGCTTTCTTTAAACAAAAGACACGTGAAGGTCCGGGTCAGAATATTGATCTTCAGTAACCCATGCATGTCGTAAGAGGCGACTGACGGGATCGGTTGATCAGGCTCGCTGACTTGGTTGACACATGTCATCGGTTCCCAAATGCGCAGATCGATGTTCATGCTGTTGGTCACTGGATTGTCTGGTCCAGACTCGATTATTTACAGACCGCCGCCATATAGATTGAGTATTGCTGAATGCAACGTAAAACTAAACCCACTCACTCACTCATTTTAAACAAAACATCTACCTATCCTTCACTGTACATAGAGAATACTACACGAGGTCTCATTACAAACGAGTTATACGAAACGAGTGTCCTTCCTATGGTATCTTACCGAGCGAAAGCGAGGTCGGATACCATAGGAAGGTCACGAGTTTCGTATAATTCGTATGTAATAATACCGAGTGTGGTATTTTATTTATTACCCACGTCTTACATGCATTAAATTGAAAAAATAGCGTATTTTTGATATTTTTATGGTTTCAAACCGAAACCGGTTTCATAAAGAGGTTGCGGAAGAGTTTTGTACTGTAGTACAATATTTGCATGATGTCACACTGTAATGACGTCACTGCCTTGGTAACCGACGTCACGATGCATGTCAGTTGTCATCGCCTCGTACAGCCTCCTACAGTAAACTACTCCGTAGCACCCCGTTTCTTGGTTTGCAGTTGCTTCATTCGGCTAACATCACTGGTGGAAACATTGCGTTTATGTTTTTCGACGGATATAATGTCTCAGTTCGACTCACAATTAAACAGCGACACGGCAACATTCGCAATGTTTACATTCCCACAATGTATTTAAGTTGCAGAATGAATGAATTCACGTGTTTGTTATGAATGAAAGAATAGTTACGTCAGAATGTGACCTAATTGAGAGGTCATGGGTTATCCATTCAAATCGTTAGAATCTCAGGTCAAGTCGTTACGACACAGGTCAATGTGATACGACACTCGTGTGACGTACGAGATTAGTATGCAACTACCCATACGTTGACCACGTGGGTAATAAATGCCGGAACGACATCGACAAGCGTATATGTCATCGTCAAATTCAACCAACCACTCACGATTTTTAGAGATAAATGAAACAACTCGTGTCAAGATGACATTGGTCGAATAAACAGAAGCTTGTCTTGTGAAAATGTAAAAAGCCAATTTTACCCTAGGTTAATGAAGATGAATGCAACATGCAAATTCTGAATTTGACTCACAGCCTTACGACCTACTGCACCACCATCTAATTATACCGTCTCATTATAGCGATCATGAGAAACCATCTGATCTGAATAGCAGACGTAATCAAATCATTTCTAACGAATCCTAGAAGGGACATTGTCGCGTTGTAACACTGTTGTGTGCGACAATGCGACAACGCAACATATTGTGACTTGGAAAACTGTCGCCCTTTGATAGAGGAGAATGGTATTATTCACAATGCGACAAATGGCCAAAATTCACGTTGTCGCATTGTCGCACTTTGGTTAATTTTGCCACGTTTTGTTTATTTTTGTTTATTTTTGTAAGGGCGACAATTCGACAACGCGACAATGTCCCTTCTAGGATTCCATACATTTCCATGTGCCCGTACATAAAAAGTGTGAGAAATTGAAGTAAAAGAAAATGGTAAAATTGGCAAAGAGAATTATACTGTGAAGACACAACCGCATATACAGACAAGTAAGAGTATTAAGTGCCTCTCGATGACGTCTTCGTTCCTGTCATGTCTCAGATTCGTGTTTAAAAAAAATAAAGATACTTCTTTAAAGCTGAGATCCTATCCCAGGTGTTGAATATTTCACGCAGGTGTTCGTCAGCAAGGTCACATGATTAAGGGTTTAACCAATCAGGCTACACTTGCCGTGCACGAGCAAGTCTAAAGACAACTTAGTTTCAATAATTTCATAAACTATTTGGGGCAATGTTAAGTATGGTATTTCCATATTCATTAGTTAAGTTGTTAATCTTATGACTTGTGTGAACGAGTAGTTTCAGGCCCGTAGGCTGCAGCGCACTTGAGTGAGTGAATGAGTATGGTTTTAAGCCGCTTTTTGTAATATTCCAGCAATATCACGGCGGGGATCACCAGAAATGGGCTTCACACAATGTACCCATGCGGGAAATCGAACCCGGGTGTTCGGACGAGCGAACGCTTTAACTATTAGGCTACTCCAACGCACCACTTTGTTTAGCCTCTGAGGGTGACTACCCGGTCGTACTGTTCGCCGCTTACGACAAGCAGGGTTTGCTCATGGTGTCAATTACTAGATTGTCTGGTCCAAATTGTTTACAGACCGATTGTTTACAACTCTAACATTTTGAATGCTGCGTCAAACAAACTCATATTATTGAGACAAAATACATTCCTTCTTTGAGAGGCATCAAAATACATTCATATACATTAACCATATGGAACGTTGGAATAGTGGAATATGGCCAGACTACCGCACAAATCAAATACAATTTGTCCACATTTTTATTGCAGTGACAAGTAATGGGTAACTTCGAGTATTGCATGCGATGACATCGGGTTACCTCCGGGTATCTCGAATAATATAGGAAGATTAGTTGGCGCTGCTTCCAGACTTGGGTTGACACTTGGGGTTGTGGTGCGTGATGGTACCCCCCGTCTCGTCCACCGTCTCGCCCCGGCACTCCAAACCGGTCATACAGGGGCAGTAGTCCTCGAACAGATTGGGGTTGAAGATGTCGTGGTCCATGAACACGTGGCAAGGGTCATTCTCCTTGCGTTCCGGCTCGCACTTGCCGCTGTTGTGGCTGCCGAAGAGGTCGTCGAACAGCATGCGCTTCTTGCCGCCGATGAATTTAGTGACGCAGCAGTACCCCTCGCCGCAGTCTGTGGTCTTGGTGCATGACCCCCCGGGGGCAACTCCGCCGGTCACGGCAGCTGTGGGCACAGTGGTCGCGGGATCCTGCGCCTAGGGTCGATGAAACATTACTCATTAGTATCAGCGTAAAACGGAGATAAATAGTGATTTGCACTGAAAAGACCTTCATGTTTTAACACGGGACAGGACAAGCTTACCCTATTCGCTAACACCTGGTGTCATCATTGATTTTCAGTGATCCAATCATATAATTTTAACAGCATTTTCCCCGTCACACTAACGGAATTTGTTTCTGACTGACTGACTGACTGAGTTTGGTTTTACGCCGCTTTGAGCAATATTCCAGCAATATCACGGCGGGGAACACCAGAAATGGGCTTCACACATTGTACCCTTGTGGGGATTCGAACCCGGGTCTTCGGCGTGACGAGTCAACGCTTTAACCACTAGGCTACCCCACCGCCCCGTTTGTTTCTGAGGATAGTCAAGACTGATATTCTTATACACTGACGTTCTAGTGAGTGAGTGAGTTTAGTTTTACGCCGCATTCAGCAATATTCCAGCTACTAGTATATGGCGGCGGTCTGTAAATAATCGAGTGTGGACCAAACAATACGGTGATCAACAGCATGAGCATCGATCTACACAACTGGGAACCGATGACATGTGTCAACCAAGTCAGCGAGCCTGACCACCCGATCCCGTTAGTCGCCTCTTACGACATGCATGGGTTACTGAAGATCAATTCTAACCCGGATCTTTGAAGTTCTACAGATATATATTATAAATGTATTATCATCATAAAACGGAGATAAATACTGATGAAGGAACCGCACGGACTAGACCTTAATGTTACAATACGTTTTATTTTTAACCATACCTATTAGTGAGGGAGTAAGTTAGGTTTTATTCTGCATTCACCACTCAACTTATAATAATCAGTTAATAGTTAGCCAAATATGCCATTATTTGAGTGAGCGAGTGAGTTTAGTTTTACACCCCACTCAGCAATATTCCAGCTATATGGCGGCGGTCTGTAAATAATCGAGTCTGAACCAGATAATCCAGTGATCAACAGCATGCCATTATTTGAACTCATTGAGTAGAAAATAATTGCACGACGGTTTATTGTAAGAAAGCCCATAAACGGAGATAATTAAAATCCAACCCAACGGTATTACGAGGTAGTAATGGCACATTTGAACTGACTGTTAGACCTGATCATGTGAACGCTAAACCGTCATTCAAGATAGCCACCTTGGTACGGTCGGCAGTACATGCTCCAGGGGTCGCATCTGAGACATAGCTTCTATCATTTCTATTCTTTCCCTTAAATCTCAATAGTGTACTGAGACGAACCCACGCAAATACAACGGACACTGTGAGTGAGTGAGAGAGTGAGAGAGTTTGGTTTTATGCCGCTTTTAGCAATATTCCAGCAATATCACGGCGGGGGCTCCAGAAATGGGCTTCACACGTTGTACCCATGTGGGGAATCGAACCCGGGTCGTCGGCGTGACGAACGAACGCTTTAAGCACTGGGCTACCCCACTACCCCAACGGACACTGTGACTCAAACGTGCGGCACGTAATTCTTTAAATTATGATATATAATTATGTGCATATATCTATATTGCTATACTGCCCATGATCAAATAACGGTCTCTCAAAATGAATCAACAATAATCTTCAGCTTTACTGAACTCACCAGAGCTACTCCGAGAACAGCAAGAAAGACGATTGTAACCTTCATGGTGATATAATTAAATGACTGACTGAAATGACCGTTCAAATATATTAGACAATTCAGTGGGAAGAGCCATGTGTGACCTGATATGAATAGCTTCACACTAACGATAAGGTTGCCTCGAAGGACGAACTTCAGGAACATTTGTCTACTTGCATGTCAGGAATTCTACTAGACGTGTCAACTCCAATGCTAACGAGAGACAATTAAACCTGCGCCTGGTACGCCACTGGTGATTTAGTTTAAATGGCTTAAAATGAATTTCAAAATAGGTAAGACGGTGCGTAATTAAACTTTGAGTCTCTGGGGTGATGTTAAGAGAAATATTTATGTTTTGTTTGTTCGTCTCGACTAGTGGGGAATCCGGATTGCAATAGGCGCCAAATTCCTGGAGTAATGAGCTCCGGCTGCTATGAGACATGACCCCGCTGATTGTGAGAACGTAACCAGAAGGCGCTGGAACACTGCTCTATCAGCTCCGTGAATATCTCGCCCAGACCCGATTTCTTAAAATTTAAGGGTCATTGTTGTGAAAGGAATGGTAAGCAACACTCACTCACCCTCAAAGCATTCCATTTGGTGCGGTATGGGTTATGTTGGTCTCTAGTTGTTTGTTTTGTTGGTTTGTTGTTTGTTGCGGAGGTTCGTAAATAATCGAATCTGAACAAGACAATCCAATGATCAACATCATGAGCACCGACCTAGGCCACAACTATATGGCGGCGGTCTGTAAATACTCAAGGCTGGACCATACAATCCAGTGATCAACAGCATGAGCATCGATTTATTTATTTTTTAGATGCGATGAAATGTGTCAACCAAGTCCGCGAGCTTGTCCACCCGATCCTCTTAGTCGCCTCTTACGAAAGACATGAATTACTGAAGACCCATTCTAACCCGGATCGTCACGGTACATGTTTTTGGTCTCCAATGCCGACAATTAAAAACATAGCAAAACTCCAAAGACAGTGCTATTATTATAGGATATTTATATAGTCGCTGTTTTTTCCCTCGATTATTGGATGCCAATCTCAAGGGCACATTATCAATCAACAACGGTATTATCAATCCCAACTCCCTTGGGAGTATATAACTTTTGCATCCACTAGGCGCACCAAGTTATTGCGGCTTTCCCATCGATTGATATCTTCGTCTTAGGGACGCGAAGATATTTTGTATAGCTTATTTTATATAATATTAAATATAACCCAATGACTCGTAAAATGTTATCAGAGACTAAATGGCAATCATGTTTCATGCAAATGGTTCGTGTTACTGTTACATTTAATTATGCTCAACCAAATTAATAACTTGACACTATTTACATTGAAAACCTCAGTGGAAGAAGCGTGCGCATTATCGTGAAGATTGATATGCATCACATTGCTACCGTCCAAGTTACAATACAAACGACGAAAACTGGATTGCGGCATCAATGTATTGGAAAAACTGCCCAATGGAACATGTTTCCACAGATGGTCGAGACTAATTACTCTCTGGGTTTGGGGGCGGTGGGGAAGCCTGGTGGTTACAGCTTTCGCTCGTCACGCCGAATTCAATTAGCCACCTGGATACAATGCGTGAAGCCCATTTCTGGTGTCCCCCGCAGTGATATTGCTGGAATTTTGCTAAAAGCGGCGTAAAATCATACTCACTCACTCTGGGTTTGACGTTTAAATGCCCATTGTGGCTGAAATCAGTGGTTGTATGGGAGATAATATAGATGCAATAAGTTACTAGACATTTAATGTCGTGGCAAATGGCGCCTAGACCACTCAGCTCAGCCACAGGCTGAGCGGTCCTGAGCGCTGGTGGAAGCCGCGGTGGCTGAGCGGTCTAGGCGTCTGACTTTGTGTGCTGGCGATTAGGTGCCTGACTCTGATGGTGTGGTGGAAGCCGCGGTGGCTGAATCCGAGTTCGAATCCCTGATGGGGCTCAACCCCAAAAAGTACTAGAACCTGTACTTTACTAAGAAAGTGTAATCCCAAATATAACATATGTTACCTTGCTGCTGTAATTTTATTTAAGTACAACATTTGAGGACCAACCCACGGTCGGTCATGGCAGTATGACCTTTCGCAAACTTTGACTGAAAGGAAATCGATATTAGCCAATCAAAAAGCAGCTCCCTCGAGCCTTGGGGTACTAGTTTCAAACTACCGATTTCAATTCCAAAATACGCTTGCAGAAATAAGGACAAAGTTCTCCGTCATAACTGAACGAAAGAACTTTCAAGAATGGCCAGGCACAACGTCCTCCTGTATGACCGTTTGGTTTCCAATGTTTACCTTACTAAAGGAAGGAAAAGGTGATGATTTGCATTCGGAATTTGTCGTGCATTCCGTAAATGTCGTTCGGAAGGTCCCGTGTTAACCTTTTCGAGATTGCATGTTAAGGAAACAAATTTGAACTTTTGCTTTCGCGATATCGTAAGAGACGAGAGCCATGAAACCTGGATGAAAGGTTGTTGCTGTCGTGACAGGTAATAGAATACACCATGATCTTTGTAGCGAGCACTAAGATCTTATTTTGATTGGATTGAAAACCACTATGCCTTCATTTTGTGTCATTGTAGTTTATTTCGAATTTGTTTGGTCATGGCTCCATCACTAACATGTCTTCACGATGGAGCTGTAAGACAGTCAAATAACGCTATGTCCCATTTAACTTTCAAGGTTGTCTACGACTCCAGATTTCTTATTATTTGCATGTTTGCCTACACCACAAACACTACTAATATCACCGCATCGATTTCCCTAATACCAATCACGTCCAGGATGAAAACTAGACGTCGAGGGAGAGTAGCAACCTGTTGCTGCTGTCGGTATTGACGTCTCTATGTTATCAAAGCTGTATTAGACAGAGATTGTCCATACACTTGAGACCACTAATCAGTATCGTGTATTTCTACACGGGGCTTCTGGTGATGTATGTGTCGCGATTCACGTTTCAGAACATAGGACAACTATGGTGGCCCAGAAGGGACATCGCTTTGTCTTACGTCCCAGGAAAGCTATAACACGAGACGAGAAAGAGATAGCACGAGACTAGAAAGCAATACAAAATTGACTGTTGCTTTCTCCTCTAATCATATCGCTTTCTCGTACCATGATATCGCTTTCTCGTACCATGCTATCGCTTTATAGTTTTCTCTTGCTAACGGCGAAAAAGCGATGTCCCCTCTCGATCACCATACATGATGGGGAAATCAAACATGGCCATTGGTTTTAGTTTCAACAAAATCAACAAACGGGCTGTCGCGGCGCTGGATTGTCTGATCACGACTTCATTATTTATTATAATCATATTATACTCTTCACAGTTCTGTTTTCGAGAAGATGTGTGTCAATCACCCCATTGTGATACATGTTTAGAGAGCAGCTTCAGCCTCAAATTCGACGGATGATCTGAATCGGTCTTGACTGATGTATGTACCTAATAGACGCTATAAAAGCTTTGCCCATATAGTCATAACGTTTGATGGAGCCTTTGTTAAGGCGGGGTAGCGTAATGGTTAAAGCGTTCGCTCGTCACACCAAAGACCCGGGTTCGATTCCCCACATGGGTGTAATGTGTGAAGCCCATTTCTGGTGTCCCCCACCATGATATTCCTGGAATATTGCTAAAAGCGGCGTAAAACCATACCCACTCACTCACCTAGTTTTTAGACTGGTTCAGCGAACCCTTAAGAAGTATTTTGCAAGCAAATTATTTGGACAAACGTGACAGATGTCCAGGTTTGAATTACAAGATCTAATATGGACATTATAGATATCACCATCTCATCTATCCTCATCATCTGTGTACTGGTTCAAGGAGGCTCGTATGATTGCTTGAGGATATCTATTTCATTCCGGCTCACGTCTCTGAGTAACACAAAACTTTGTTTATGTCCAGAGTGGATTATATTATTTGACGTCAAGATAGCCTGAACCTGTTAATTATGACGACCTCAAAGCCTAAATCAACAATATCCAAGCAGCATGATGGCAGTCTCTAAATAAGCGGCTCATGAAGACACAATCCAATGATTGACATAATGAGCACCGATCTATGAAACTGTGATACGTTGACGTATCAACCATGAGCGCGAGTCTGACTACCTGAGGTCGATAGTTACCGCTTACATAAGTATGGGTTGCTGAAGACGTAAGATGAAGACGTAACAACGAATCGTCAACACATTGCGAGATCGTGAGACACAGCTGAGGAAGCAGGGTTAATCAGGAGAAGATTATTGTTCTTATAATCCTCTTTACATAACTATTCGCCAGGGCCTTCTTGGTGATGCTGTTTCCTGGTTGTATGTCCCTGTGAGGCTTAAGTCGGATCAATATGATAGACACGCCGGGTCAACCTAGTGATACAGCTGACTTTACGCATTGATTCTTCGATAGTGCCAGCTGGTCTCAGCTTTGGTACTTTAATGATAGAAGCACTGGAAATATTCAGCCCATTATATGTACGACGGGTTCAACAGCCTTGGCGTGTTCAGCCATATTGCTTAGGACACCCGTACAGTCTATGTGTTTCAGGGGCGGTGGGATAGCCTAGTGGTTAAAGCGTTCGTTCGTCACGCCGAAGACCAAGGTTCGATTCCCCATCTGGGTACAATGCGTGAAGCCCATTTCTGATGTCCGTGATATTGATGGAATATTGCTAAACGCGGCGTAAAACCATACTCACTCACTTATGTGTTTCCCATCTCCAACATCGACCAGCAAACGGACGGGAGGGTGAAAAAGAATGAATAGGCAAGAAAAATAAATACAGTTTTTCACTAATTCTGTAACTTATTATATCAGTGGTAATGGTAAATTAATCCATGATGTCGCTTTGCTTCGGGAACTTTTTCAAAAGAAATTCGTTGAAGTAAGACCCAGCTGACCTGGATGTTGTTATTAGTGTCCAAGACTAAAGGGAATCATTTCTTTATCACCTTTTGAGTTATGTGAACTTAAGTTAGGTGCAAAATGCAGCAGAGAAGGTGGTCCTGACACAGTAAGGCTGGTAAGGCTCATAATCAGTTCAGGGCCTTTGCCCCCTCGTTCTACACGCAGCCCAGACAGCGAATGGAAATTCTCTCGGGAA